ATTCGACCGTTTCTATGGTGACAGACAGACGGCGGTGAGATACGGGGGGAGGCCTCTACATTCCATACTGTACCTCTAGCACGAAAACCTTTCGACTTCGAATCGTTTGCGTATCCGAATAGCCATCAAAAGATAACTAAAACAGCGCCCTTGTAAACGTGTCGTAAAGTGAACTTAGTATGAGAAATGGTAGCATGAAACTAATTTTGACAGTCGAAATTGTCACGGTATCGTTGAATTCGAAGGCTAATTATCGAATTTTGTCGAATACGCAAACGATTCAAAGACAAAAGTTGTTCATGCTAGAGGCACTGAAATGTTGCTGGATCGCATTATTGGTTGCCCTATCGCGCAGGTACAATTTTATGTGTATTGGAGAATGGTAGATATAGGTTTTTGGTTATTTTACATTTGTAAATTGGTAGTAATTTCATAGTATAGATGTTATAACGTCGCTTGCCTCTCTAACTGACGTATCTGACATTTTTTCGAAACTGAGTTACCTATCCCATCTTAATAAATTTCGCAAGACGAATCGATCTGTCTAATCGCCTGAAAATTTTGCAAAATGTCAGTTACGTCAGTTGGAGAGGCAAGTGAGGATATGACGTACTTAGATTCATTTGATTTACCATAAATAAGGACAATAATGACATGTACCAAGGGCTAGGTTAATAATACTCCGGAAAATGCAATAATGTTCTCATTTTGTAAGGATATTTTCGAAAGATTTAGAAGAAAGATATGTTTATAAAAAATCTTGATTTAAACCAAGCTTAATAATCTAGAAAGTAACTAAATAATAATGTTTTCTCCATATTTTCGTTCAACATGTTTACAGACAGTGTGACAATAGGGAAACCCTAATGTGTAAAAGCAGTACTAAATAGTATTTATTGCCTACATTCTTCTTATTCTTCTCTCCTTTCAGCCTACATTTGCTGGAAATTGGAGAGGGTCATGTTCTTGTAGCTTCATAAACTTGTGCTTTCAAATGTTACTTTACTTTTCAATCATTTAAAGTAATGTTTTTCACTTACCTATAGTTTATCCTAATGATGATTATTCAGTTGTTTTAACATCTCGGATGTTTTTTTTAAATCGAAAAAGTTTTCAATCTCCATTTACGCGTGTTCCGAACAAAAACAGCCGTCCGTCCCCCGGAATGGCACCCCAAACAGATAGCATCGCCAAAAATCCCCTGTCACGCGGCCGTTGAACCCGGCAGCGGGTCGGTGACCGGTGACGTCACGGGATCAGGGGTCCAAATCGAGGGTGGCTCCGCGAATTTACTATTATTTTTTGGGAAAAAATTATTATCTATCATGCAATTCGGTATTAGAATTCACACATAAAAAATTATAAGTATCCCCTGGCCTAATGGTTGCGTACTGGACTGCTGCTATGCAGGAGGTCACGGGTTTGATCCCTGCATAATACAATCATTTGTTTACATAAACACATGTATCTGATTGCATTCGTTTGGTGTTTTCTATGTCGGCTTTTATTAGTGTTGAATACCAATGGACTAAACATTATGTTCATGGGTCATAAATAGTCATAAGTTTTTTTTTTTGCAATTCGGCTTTTAAAAATGGTTTTTTTTACAAAGTTTATTCGTTTCACCTAAATGGCGTCCACTGCTGGAAAAAGCCTCCCCCAAGGATTTCCACAACGAATGTTTCAGTACCCAGTTAAACCCTATCACTGTTACTATGGATGGGTATAATTGTATATCAGTTACTATTAAAATGAAAAGGCAAAAAAAATGCCAGTGAGATAATATTGTAAAAAGTTCATCTATAAACACATTATCACATTGTCCAAAAGTATACAAAAGAAGAATCTATAAAAGCAATATTATTCCCCAGATACTTCCCACAATCTCGCACTTCTTGCTACCCCAATGGATACGTTGGCGATGGCAGCCATATTGCCAATCTATATGATAATAAAACCCTGTAGAACTGTAGATATTGCGAAAAAACATGGCTACTTTTAACGTGTCAAAAATGGTTACAATGTTACATTTTTAATGGTTTTTATTTCCACTTTTGTAAGTCCATTGAAAGAAATGTTCTTGTCAAATACAAATGATTTCTACAGTCAATTTTAATCTTAGTCCAAAAATTATACTGGTTTTTCTGTCTTTAACATTTTCACATCCAAAACAGCTGATTTTTAGGTTCGTTTTTTGCAAAAAACCTAAAGGCGGTGAAATAGGGGATGGACTTTAAAACTTCAGAAATATTCTGAAATTAGGATCTGAAAATTAATTCTAATCATACACTATAGGAATTCAAGTGATTTTAATCTGTATAAAAATATGTGAAGAATTATACAAGGGCGAAGACGCTATAGCAACATTTAGTCTAAAAATAAATGCATTTTACCAAAATTCATAGAAATTCGCGTAGGCGTTATTTTTTTTAGGCATGAAAATACTACAAACGAACAGTCAGAGTTACTTTCGCACTTAAATATTCTTATTGACTTGTATCGAATAGGCTCCGAAACTAATGTACCGATTTGAAAAATTCTTTCACCATTAGAACCCTACATTATTTCTGATGAACATACGCGGTACGAAGTTCGCCGGGTCAGCTAGTATGTAGATATATTCAAGTGTTTTGTTTGCTTATATCGAGTGTCATATCTCCCCCGAATATATTTATCTTGTTCATCAACCGCACTCGATTTCAATTAGTCGTGTTTCCGTCAGAGTCCATTTTAACAGGTCTGCCTCACAAATCCGTCAAAGGCAACTTTCCCTACAGAAGTCATTTTGACTTAAAAAGGAATTATGAACCTTAAGTTATATGGACTTAAAGTTTTTTATGCAACAGCAGTACGGGACTGAACAAATATTATCAAATTCCTATCAAAAAACAATAATGAATCTTATTTCAAAGGAATAAGGTCGATTATGCAACGGCGATAAGGTGCTGACCAAATATTATCAACCCCCAATCAAGGGGTGCCAGCGAGGGGTCCGGTCGCGTGTCATAATTAGGGTTGCCATTGACACGAAGGTTTTTAAAATATTAAAAATAAAATGAGGAGGTTGGGCAATTAAATACGTGGTTACAAAGATTGAAGAAAGTTGTCTACTTGGTTTAATTTATTTATTTCTAAGATATTTATCTTAATATCAGAGCTCTGACATTTCTTGGTTTCCAGTGTCGTCTTACAAGATATCTAAACTAGTTCAAATTGTTAGCCTAAGTACATGTATATTTTTAAGTATATTACACTTATATTTTATGTTTAACATTAAGGATCTAGTTTAAGTAATCGCAGCACTTATTTGCCTTAACATTTTCTCATCTTGTAAACTTTTTTGTCATTGAAGTGAAGTAAAAAAAATCTACATACGTGTTGTTTTTTGTCGGCCCTAAGTCCACTATAAATATTGTATTGACGCTTCTCAGATAGACTGAGGGTCGCGCGAGGGGAGGGCCGTCTAATAACTGAGTGTTTTGCTATCAGTCTTTTGCAGTTCATATTTTTGACGGATCGATTTTAAAGAACTATTGTAGTTAAAATAATGTAACTTGTGATAAAGTGCTCAGCATCCCTTGACAATGCTTGACAAAGTAACAAACGTGACAGTTCTGTAGTTACTTCGTTATGAGCGATTTCGGATTTAAAACTGTCTAAATTTTTACTTTATTTTTTTATTATTTTTAAGATAGGTACAGCAACAGACTGATTACAAATAATAGCGTTGTAAAGAGACAGTCTGTTCTTTTTTTAATGTATTTTTTTTAAGTGAAAAGCGTGCCTAAAAAGTTTTTTCCTTGATTTTAGTGTCGAAATCCAAAAATTAAGCAGTAGGTATATTATTATGCCAATTAATGGATAAAAAGTTCCTAATCATTAATGAGCAAGAATAATTCATTGTAGGTATGGGCAATATCATAGCAAGCTACTCACACAGCACTCTGTAACCATAGGTGGTTGTAAAATATGCTGATTGTACTGAAGCTAAACACGGTGGCCTCTTATTTACTACTATTAAGTAATAGAGGCGATTTTTCAACAAAACTGTATAGTCTGATACGCTGTCTGTATTTTTAGTTTACTAAATTAATGAAAAATGAAGAATTTTTGTATGTTCTCTGTTCTTTGAAACCACAAAACATCGTAGAGAATAATCTATCTTTTTGAAACCACAATTCCTATTAATTTCTATTTGCCTAAAACGTAGTAACATGTCCTTCATAGTACCCAGCCGACACTCCGGTCAAGTGACATTCAACTTGACTTTAGTAACCTTTGCAATGTCAGCCCAAAACTCTACTTACCTACCTACGAGCTAACGTGCCTACTGACCTGTATTTGTTCTTTGATTTTTTGGGTAAAAAAGCAAGTTAAGGGTCAATGAATTTTAAAAATTGGACCAGTTTAACGTTCAAGAGGTCTCAATTTCCTTTTATCGTGGTCTATTTGCTTAGTAAGATTTGTGTAGTTCACTTCGTTGAAAATATGAAAATGTCAGAAAATTATAATGAAAAGTTGGTAACTCTATTTGAATTTTCACTATCATTACTACTACGCCTTATCTATTGACCTCCTTTTCAACCGACTTGAAAAAAGGAGGAGGTTCTCAATTCGACCCGTATGTTTTTTTTTCAAGTTTCAAAACTACGTTAATCTAAAAGCTCTACATTTTCAAATTATTCGTAGAGAATCTTTAGGTCAGCTTTTTCGAAACTTTTTACTTTGACACTGTAGCTTAGTGATTCTAGTTGTCTAGTTATTGGATTTTCTTTCAATATTTATTGTAACTGAATAATATTTCTTATTACTTTATGTATTAATAAATGTATAGTCGTCAGTTTTTGTTTCAATAAAGAACCTTTTATAATACTATACATAAGATATTACTGTGTGTAGCTTAATGTGGTGTTTTTAGTAACTTGAAATTGATTTATTTTGTAATTAGTTATATTATGTAGAGTGTAAGAGGATAAGGTTTTTCAGAAATAAAATACATATTTCGGGTTTTTTTATATATTTAGAACAAGAAATGTATAGTTACAACCATTGAGGATATTAAATATCATATTGTAAAAACTATTGTATAAAGTGAAGAGAATGTGACATTTTTTCATATTTTTTTATTCAATTTATAATTAATTCCAATAAATTAATAATTATAGACACATAAATTACGTGAAAATATTAATGAATAAATTACTTAAAACAGCCAAGTAACCACTACGGATGTAAATATTTGGTTAAATGCTTACTTTTAGGAATGAGTATTTTTAAAAATGTCTATTCCGTATTTCAAAGAAAGACGGCGTGTACGGCTTTCCAGCGTCGCTGGAGCAGCGAGGCTGGAGAGCCCTACATATAAACCTTAAACGATCTTACAAATTATTGGGAACAACATTTAAGACTAAAGACGACACTAAGCCTGGCTCCTGGCCTACATGTGTTGTTCTGGCGAGTCCACTGTCACTAGAAGCAATGCGTTGGCACTGCCGGTAAGCGTAAGTGTGCAGCGACCCGCGAAAAACACCTCTGCTCTCCAACATTTTTTTGATACCATTGCGAATCTCAAACCCAATGTCAGACTTAGTGTAGCGCCCTTAATACCACTACTATTTGTTGTGCAACTCAAATTCTTCCTCACAAAAGCTATAATGAAGTAGAGGTAATTATTAAAACCGACACAATAAGTATATAGAAATACCTAACGCTTAGGTACAATATTAACTAAATCGGTTAATATCACCAACACAGACACCTACCTCTTAATTTTATAATAATCATAAAAAGACGAAAAGAAACTTCAACATTGATTTTTACCGGAAGATCTTAGTTTTTAACTTTTTTTTATATTTTTTTATAAGTTTTATAAAATACGTATTTGTATCAAATGTCAGCTAGCACGAACGAGAAAAATGGCTGACTGATTTTTTTTTATAATTTCATTTAATTATAAATATCATTGCTTTCATTGTCTAGTACATCTTAACGTTGAAGTTGGTAAAATACTTATTCAATACTTTATTTTTGAGACTTATTTATCTTACGATGCATTTTTGCTAATTATTCTCTATCCTTACATTCGAGTTGGTTGGAAGTCGGGATGATTTATTCGGTTCGTTAGAAAATGCAACGAAGACCATGAAAAGTATTTACGTGTCCGTACTTTCCCTGATCTTGACAAAAATGGGATACGAGTATTGACTACGGTTATGTACTAGGAGTATCACATACTACTCTGCACCGCGAGTTTGTTCCCATTGCGTTTTTATTAAATAAATAGGCAGGCGTTGCTAGAGCGACACACATGAAAAAAATCAGTGCGTCGGTGTTATGTCGTTAGTCCCGAGCATTCGGGGCTTCACGAGCACCATGACACGCCTCGCGAGCCAGCACGGAATGGGAACCAACTTTGTGACTGCAGTTAATAGAGGAATCAACACCGAAAACGAATATCTAATAAATAGACAGTGAAATTGATATTACATGATATTACTTTTTTTTATTAAATTCGAAACTATTGGTTATTTTTATTCAATAATTCGCTTACCCGAAGCTGGACCGTTGCCGTTTGATGTTTATTTACATATTTATTGCAAACTGTTTGAACCCGTCGTGTCAAACGCGCGATTGCTAAGTTATTCGATTGGCTCAAAAACGCCAATCGCGTTAATTTTTTATTTATAATTCGTAATTTTTTTCTTCCGCTCCGGACTTTTGTTTTTCACTGTCTATCATGATTTAGGGAGAAAACATACTGTGCTGGAAGGGTAATTAGGTCACAACTGTGCTTATTGTTCGTGTGGGTTGGAGTTTGGATAGCCAAGTCGCATTTTCGTGTAAGTGGCCGTGCGTGAACACCATATGTTTTCCCCCATAGTGACGATGATCATGCGTTAGGGAAGCTCGCTGCTCTGGCTATACATTATAAAATCATCAATGAACGTACGATCTAAAAGCTACACTAGAGAAACAGATTCAAAATACAAGGAAGTACTTACATGAGCAATGCAGATTATTGATTTTTAATAATAATTTTATAACGTCGTAGCCGCAGCGCGAAGAGGAGGCGTTGTGCAATTCATCTCATGTTTATTTTAATAGAATTTTGACGTATGAAGTAATAGTAACACATTTAGTCGATGTCTCGAGTATTCTACTGCGTGAAAAATATTTCAATGAATCGCGTAATATAAGTGTTATTTTATAAATAAGTATATTACTGTATTACAACACCGAACGCCGCGTATTTATATTGAGCATTTGACTAGACTTAACCAGCGTTGAGTATCCTAATACAGGTCGGATGGCACAGTATTTTCACGGAAATATATTTTTACGTGTAGAACATTAACTTACGTATTTTATTTCCTATGGAAGATTTCATTTCTTCTTTGTGTCTTAACTATCGGAATCGCATACGCCTCGGGCACCGATTTGTGCTTAGAGTTTTGTGTCCGAGTCTTAGGCTATTCCTATCACTTACTCCCTTACACAGCTTACATAACACTGATTAGTAAATGCTACATGCTCTTCCCACCACTATTTATCACCGACGCAGTTTTGGACAAATTTTACACGCTTTTACATCGGAATTGTCAATGATTTACTTATATAATGGGCCGATAACAGTTTTGTACGCGTGATTGCATGTCGCCATCACAGAACGAAGAAGCTGATCTTCCGAGACGCGGAACTGGTAGTAACTTGGTTACATCTGGGGTATTCGGGAAGTGCAACGCTCTCACAATTTCTTCTGTTCTGTGACTTCACTTAAGTTATCTTTATTTTATTAATTAAGATCAATCGTCACGTGTTTTATTTTATTTTTGCTAACTCACAGCCTCATGTCAATTAGCCTATGCGTATTTAGAGTATTGTTTCTGTGTTGCCAATTAATTACGTTATTTTTTTAAATATCATTTTTTCATTTCATAAAAAATTCACCAAAACACCATTCAAAAAGTAGCCGTAATGTTATTGATAAAGGTCTGGTAATCCCTTGTCACATGGGGTTCGTTTATCGGCGAGTACCCGCAAGCCCATGGCGTCGTGTTGGGTAACGCTTGCCAAGGCTCTAATAACTCTTCTTATTCATGAAAAACTTTCAGAAAGTGCAGGTTTCATATGTGGCCACGCTAGCAATACTAACACGCATAAAGTCGAGTCTTAACCCTTTGATCGCTATAGCTAAATATTGTTTTCGCTTATTTTAAACAGTACGTCCAAGTTATTAGTGCCTTTAGAACGATCAGTTATTAGTAGAACGTTTTGCTGCTAGCCGCTTACAACTATGAAGATATGAATTACAGTATATTAAAATACATATAAAAATATCAAGTTAACCGCAACGCACGTCGTCTGTGTGTTAAAATTTCACAATATATTTATTATTGCTTTTCCCGTTTCGTAAACTACTGGGCGCGGGCCCACTACTCTATTGAGCTTTATTATTAATTTATCATTATTATTCTTTAATAATTATTACCGAGAAATGATGGGTACACGCAAAACATTCTAGTAATAACATACGAGTGACATCATTATACCTAATCAACCTCACTCCAAAATATTAGCAATCTCAATATCTCACATTAATTTATTATCTAAATAGTCGATGAATTCTCAGTTATATTATTTTGGTGTTTTTGTTTCGATTCAAAAGTACAGAATTATACGAAAACAGACCAAACGAATCGAAACCATATGCGAACGTGTTAAATCATATCCAAACTTCGAGATTCCTCGCGATGTACATTTCCCTAATAAATAACTCAACATGGCCGAGCGGCCATTTGATTACATTAAATTATACACTAAATATAAATAAGTTAATACACTCCTAATTTAAATACAATGAATTGCACGAGCACTAAATTAATGAGTAAATCTAAACAGATAATGTATTGAAATTATTAATTTAAGGTTATATACCAACATCAAGTTCAACTATTCGAATACTATAACCCGGACGGGTAAGAATAGCCGACAAGTCCGAGGTAACACAAAACACAACAACCATGGTTAACCTAAGACACTACTAAGTATATAGAATATACAAGGTCCGTGACTTGTGCTCACTTGCAGTTCTGTCAACCGCACCCGTTACAACTAATTATAAATTATTAAATTAATTAAACATAGGTAATTCTCTCCCGGCCTCCCCGACGAGGTCGACCGAGCGAGGGGTAACTCACAATTTCGACTAAATTAAATACAGTACACCTAAAACGTATTAAGACTAAAAATGGAATGTTAAGCATATCCGAAGCTGTATCGAAAAAAGCAAAAAGTATTTTTTTTATAATTTTTTAAATAGTTAAAGGAAGGAAAGTCGAAAGTGTCGCCAGCGGCGGGAACCAATAGGTCACAATAAATAGTAAACGAAACGGCGAGCCTACCACGCCTCTTCGAGTTATTTGTTTAATATATTTTTATTAAATTACCGCCTATTAGTTATTGCACGTTTTACATTTATAATAAATATATAAATACTTGTAAATTTTAATCTCCATCTTTGGTATGGTATGAGTACCTATTAATATCTGAAATGTTACAAAACTGTTTTTACATATATTAAGTATATATTTTTTTTACAAAAATCGTAGGGTCGTTAGGACGGCACGATAGTATATCTATTCAAGTTCGATGTTCAAATATAGGTCTTTGTCGGGTATGATACTTGTGATACGGAGTGTAGACGCGGAGAGTACGATTATTTTATTAAACAACTTTTTTTCTATTTACAAATTTCCATTTAGACTAAGACAATTAAAGCCTACATCGAATAGACGCAGGGTCGCATCCATACATTAGAGTAGCAGGTACCGATGTGGACATCGAGCGGGATGTCTACGACTAGGGTTGCACCATGTTCCGCCGCCCGGCCTCGATCGATCCGCCCGGGGCGTCCGCCGTCCAGTTGAGTCCGTGTCGACGTAGCGCGCCATCCGATACGTGATCAACACCAGATGCGCCAGTTTTCGCAAAAGTTATCTCAAAAAATTTCTAACCTACCTACATCGCTTCAGCCCCATCGCCGCTGTTATACGAATTTTCCACAGATCTTTTTCCGTTTTTCATTTTTTTCTAAAATTTTATCAAAACCTATCACAGTTTTTGATTAGTTTTCATCCTTAATTAGTTTAATATATGATTAAAATATACGTATAGATAATATATATTTTCCAATCTTTAACAATATAACACTATTTTACTTCGATTAGGTGCCCTGGGCGACACGTGAACTGTTCGTTTGGCAATGCGGCGGCCGTACATGTTACCTACACGATATGGTCGCTTACAAAATTGGAGCATAGCATAAGGTTATTATTGCTAACATTATTTATTATATTCGAAAACTATTTCTCGATACCACAACCGTTCATAAGCGAAGTTTAATATCATTATTTTGTTATTGACTATTACCAATATGTATCAAGTCTGGCCAGAGAACTCGGCATTTGATGCCGCGAGTCGTTCTAATATTTATTGCGTGCTCGCGGGGGCTTTTCATTCAGCGGTCGCCATTTTCCGCGGGCATGCGCAGTGCACGCCTCCATTTTGATTTCCCGAAACACTTAACCTAATTCCGGGTCGAAAATGGCGGCTGGGGAACAAAGAGCCGCCGCACAAAAGAGCGAGTCAAAACATTCGCTATTTTACAATTAGTTTAGGTATTAGGTGGCGCCGCCTGGCGGAGCGTCCGCGAGCGGTATGTATGGGTGCGGCCCCTTGTGCCGTCCTAGCGGCCGAGGCCGGGGCGCGCGCGGGCCGCTTAGATCGTCTTGATCTTGTTGGTCTTGAAGCTGACCTGCAGCACGCGGTTCCCGAGCGTGTACCCGTTGAGCGACTGGATGGCGACCACCGCCTCGTCGTAGTTGGTCATCGTGATGAACCCGTAGCCCTTGCACTTGTTGGTCTGCAGGTCGCGGATCACTTTGACGCTCTGCACGGCGCCGAAGGGCCCGAAGAGCTGCCAGAGCACGTTCTCCTCGGTCTCCGGCGCCAGGTTGTACACGAAGATGCACCACTCGGAGCCGACGGCGCCGGGCAGCACGCCACCCAACAGCTCGCCGGCCAGCGGGCTGTAGCGCTGGAGGCCCTTGTTAATAGCTAGCAGCGACTTGCCTGAACTGAAGCGGCCCAGCGGCGCCGGGAAGCGCAGCGCGGCCGGCAGGTAGGCGGCCAGCGGCGCCAGCGCCTTGCCGTTGTTGCTCGGGTTGTTCGCGAACTTCACCGTGATCGGCTCCGACGCTCCCTTCGGCACTGTCCCGTTCAGCTCCTGTATGGCGCGCTCCGCCTCCACGCGCTGGTCGAAGCGGATGAAGCCGACGCCCTTGGACAGGCCCTGCTCGCCGCCGGTGAAGGGCCGCCCGCCGGAGTTCTCGCACAGGATGCGCGACGTGATGATGCGGCCATACGGGCTGAAGAGGCGCTCCAGCTCGGCCTGCGTCATGGTCTTGGGCAGGCCGGACACGTAGAGGTTGGCGCCCTTGATGGCCTCGCTGCTGGGCCGCGCGTACGACACCTTGATGGTCTTGTTCTGCAGCCGCAGCCCGTTGAGCGTTGTAATGGCCTTTTCCGCGTCCTCGGCGCGGTGGTAGTTGACGAACGCGTAGCCCAGGCTCTGGCCGCCGCCGTGCAGCGCGTGGTTGAGCGCGTCCGGGAAGGCCGCGCCCTTGTTGCGGATCAGCTTGCACGACTCCACCTCGCCGATGCTGGAGAACAGGCTGCGGATCTCCTCCTGCGTCATGCTCTGCGGCAGGTAGTTGATGATCAGGTTCGTCTTGGACTCCTCGCCCGAGCCGTTCTGGTTTTCACTGTCGCCTTTGGACATGGTGGCGGCTTAAATCATAAACGGAAAGAACGAAAGGGAAACGAAAAACGCGGTTAAAAAAATGGCACGTCCGTGCTATATCCGCGCACGAGCGATAGTGCGAGGGGCGGCCGGGCCGCCGCGCATGCCCGTTCCTATCGACCCTTCTTACATAACGCGGTTCGTTCACCCTCTCGTTATAGTGTCCGAAAAAACTAGATACACCCCGCAGGATCGATCCCCGGGCGTATGTAGGTTCCGTTTAATGTCTCCGAAGACTTCGGAACGGGGTCTGAGGTCCGTTTGGAGCTGAGTTCACTGGAGCGAGCTCCGAGATTGGGGTTTGGGCACTGAACAGGTGTTTGGAAGGGACGGTAAGGTGCTCATTCATCGGAAGGGTTTTAATTCAAGGGTTTTGTAACATTTTGCTTTTACGCGTGAAGGGATCGTTGTTATTTATGGAACGGATAGCACCCTTCGTTAGATACGCCTTGCTGCAGCTTCTTTGTTGTTGACGAGACAAATTATTGTGTTGTGCTCTTGTGCGAGCCCTTTGTTTGAATGATTTATACTATTTTGCGTCATAACACATTATTGCGATTACATAAAGGTCACGGCTTACAAACACAAAGCGGTTATATTTTTATACTTTACAGCTTTGAGTATTAAACCAATTAATAGAAAGAACCGTTCATTTTAACAGTAATTAATTGTAAAATAGTACTACCTATTTCTTAACAGTTTTTCAAGTGGGTCAAAAGAACTTATAATTTTTTGGATTTTACAAAATAATAATAATTTATGTATTTTTTTTTTTAATTTGATGGAGTTGTACTTACAAAATACAATTCTTTGTTTCTCTTTCAATTTTTGTGAACATCAGAATGGCGGGTGTATGGTCACAGAAATGAATAATATAAATNCCCGCCATTCTGATGTTCACCAATTTTTGGGTCCCTAAAAGATAAGTATGGTCATAACTTGTTTATAAAAATACCTAGTCTAGTACGAATAATCCCATTCATCAAACCTTTTACAGTTTTACAGTGTTATTGTAAAATTGTTATAATTAAGACACCGTTTTGTCTCCTTACATTCATGGTTCAAAATTACGCTATTTCACTGTGAATGACAGTTTTGGACTATGAATAGAAAGTACTATAGTAATACTACACTGTTTTAGATTATGAATAAGGAAGTAGGTATTACTTAATACAGTATCGTAGAATATTTATTGAGAAAAGTACACTAACAACAAACCACATAAGACAATCGCAGTTTAAGTTATTGGGATTTTAGTAGTAAAGGGAATGTCATTGTTTTAAATAAAATCTAATCAAATTATTTTTATTTGTTTACATACAGTGGTTGTAAAACGTTTCTTAGTATCTCCATCTTCCACCATTTAAAATTATATTATAGTTAGTTTAGTAACCAAACAAGAGTAAACATTATTCTCAGAATAAATTGTCAGTTTTGACATATTTCCCATACTGAAACTGTCAATGGGTCAGTTATACCAGGAGTTGTTCTCGGATAAAAGTTTGGTCGAATCGGGCCTCAGGGTGGATAACACCTGGTATAACTGACACATTGACAGTTTCAGTATGGGAAATATGTCAAAATGACAAGTTTATTCTTCTGTTAAAAGTTATTCGACGATGGTAAAATCAGCCCTCATTCAGTTAAAAACAAAACACAATTCATATGAAGAATGACAGAAAACTCCCACTCATTATACCTACTACATACAAATAAGGAAGTAGGTACCTACTATTATTATAGTTTCGTGAATATAGTACAACCGGTCGCTCTACATTTAGCAAAGGTAATTCAGGACCTGCGCAGAGCATGGAATCATAGGAAGCACCTACTAATAGTACAGTTTCGTGGAATATAGTACAACCGGTCGCTCTACATTTAGCAAAGGTAATTCAGGACCTGCGCAGAGCATGGAATCATAGGAAGCACCTACTAATAGTACAGTTTCGTGGAATATAGTACAACCGGTCGCTCTACATCTAGCAAAGGTACACATTCAGGACCTGCGCAGGGCAGCGGTCGTTGGCCCAGCCTCCCGGGCACAGCTGTGTACTATTACGACAGGTTATTCGCTAGTTCTGGAGAAGTAGTAGTGTATTCGGTTATTGGCATAGAGACATAGAGAGATGCCAACTAATGCGCTGAGTTCGAAACTCAGTGTCGCATTAGAATTTCACACACACAAAGTTATCAAAATATGTGCTCATTATCCACTGCGGTATCAGTACTCAACTTTCGAATAATCTTTAGTACTTCGCAAGCAATGCAAACTGTTTACATTATGACGTCGATGCTGTTATCATTATTGCTCTTACGAGAAATGTGTTCTGTTTTTGGGCATATTGTTACGACACCAGCCCCGCCCCATTGTCACATCTCCCTTTAGTTTTTGTGATCTGTGGTTATAAGTTATTGGTATAGATGTAGGTAGGTAACTGGATCTGCGAACGTTCAACGTTGTATTTAATTCTTAGTATAGTAGCTAGGTAACATGGCACACCTATGTATATTGTTTGTGCATGATGGTCATCAAATTAATTTATTTTCTGCAAATAGGCTTTAAAAACGCTTTTATGATTTACGAAGACTATTTTATCAAGAATCAAAAAATGTTTTAATACCCATAATATATGCCCAGAGGCACGAAAACGACCAAATGGTACAATTTATCTTGCAATGCCTATAAAAATAACTGTAAATATGTCAAATTACACAAAAATCTGAGATTTAAATGGTTTTGGGCATATATGGGTTAATCAAACAACTCTCCTCTAACTGAGCTAATTAATTCTTAGAGATAAAGCTTTTTTTATGATTGGTTACTTTAATAAACGGTAAAGAGTAATGTGCTACACATTTTCTCGTAGCATTTCTTGGAGCGCTACGACGCTACGTCTTGTAGCACGACTGTAGGGCGCGAAGTATTTGCTATGAAGAAATTGCCTTTCGCTACGCCGTAGACAAAGGAAGAGGGCTGGAAGGAAATTAAACAATGTACCTAAAGTCGTACTTAGGTGCAATATGGAGTTATTAAATAAAGGGAAGTTTCTTTATTTTGTAGAGCATTTTTTTCTTATGAAAAAATATTTTGTTGCTCGTCGTTTCCTCATTATCTTCTTGTCGTGTCGACAACAAATCCATACAGTGTCAGCTCAAAACTCTTTAATCACCTTCCTTTATATCATAATGTGACAATAATATTCGCCTTTGCTCTTTTAATTTTAGTTAACATTTTATAAAATCCAACAGTGCTTCGTAACATTTATGTACTAACATAAATAATAGTTTTTTTATGCTAGACAAGGCAGGTATTTGAGTTATTTGTGTCGCGTAGATTTACACATCTTTTTCATTTAATAATATGAGGCTAACTCAGCAAACTATTTAGGGTCATAAGTGCGATTATGCTATTAAAATGTATAGTCAAAGTGTCAACATCCATAGGCTTCAAACGCCTGCCAAAAACATCGCTCTTGACATCTGACACCGGCAGTGTATGCTACACAACATCATCATCAGATCATTTAGTTTTAACAGGGAAACGACCCTCTAATTTACCAGAGGCAAATGGAGGTCACTACAGATGAACTTACTCCATTTCCTTCTCCTCACGCGTTAAAAATATTACCTTCCACAACATTCGTATCGAGCTGACAGACTACCCCCCACTAAGGGGGGGAGGGGCTTGTTGCATGCGCCTTTGTGCGCGATCCGGACGTTATTTGCATTTAAATTGTGTTCGCTCGCGCAGGACAGGGTTGGTGGCTACTTGGAAATTGATAAAACTATTATGCCAATCAAATAATCAATCATCTAGAGCTATTATCTAGCTAGATTACTTACAGCATGTCACTTAATCTTTGTTTTGACTCCTTTCATTTGCTTTTCACTGGAGGGAACCTCCTCCTATGTTCTTGTCAATAATTTCGTTGCGGGTCCAATGACAGTTTTTACTTTCCTTCGGGACAAACTTGACCTTCATTGGTTGGGTTTTTCTTGGCGGTCAAGCTGTAGGTCCTGGCTACACAGGAGTTGCAGCGGTGGGAACGAGAGGTGAGAATAGTCCCGTATGTCGTTACGAAGAATCAACATGTATCTTCAGCAAGCAACGGGAGTTACGTTATGGGACTCAAACGCATACTTATGTAGGTCATGATGAGTAACTTACAGCCTTATAATTTGTCGTGGTCCTTGCTTGGACATTGCAGTTTAATGCATGTGTGTAGTATTAAAAGAGTTGTGGTTCATCATCATTTCTTGTCTACTGCTGAACATAGGCCTCTCCCAATTATTCCTTGATCGGCCGGTTCGTAGCGGCCTGGATCCAGCTCCTTCCTGCTCCCTTTATGGGGTCGCCTGTCCACCTGGTACTAACGTATAAAATCATATAGAGTACACAGAAACTATGGATTCTGTTGAAAAGTCACCTTCAGAGCTTCAATTTTCAAGTGAGAAGAAGTTGGTCATATTAAAACCGGTAAAGCGACGAGTTGTCTTAACTCACAATTACGGTTTATACGGTTTTCTAGATACGCACTGAAAAAAATGTTTGGTTACTGCTTACACAACAAAAGTGACCACCGAACACTTTGGTTATGAGGAACAAAATGTTGTGTAAATTAAATAAATAATTCTGTAGTGAGCTAGACTTAGTTTGGTTATAGTTAACACTTAGTTTGGTGGTCACTTTTGTTGTGTAAGCAGTAACCAAACATTTTTTTCAGTGCAGATTTTTAATTTAAAACAGCGTAAAGAAAACTCAACAGCCAGCCCTACGTCCATAAACTTGGCACGGCGGAGCTATTTCACTTGCAAACGGGTCTAACTAGCCTGTGAGTTGTTGACGGCTTTCCACTTATTTCCGCCACTCGCGGCGCTTCGAGTTGTCATCATTTCTAGGCTGGCGCCCTGACGAGCTTTTAAGCTCTAGGTACTATTAAAAAAATGCTAGGCAGTGTAATAAATAAGGTAATAAAAACTCTTTATTGTACACCACACACAAAACAAGAAAGAAAGACAGGGACAGTACAATTTCGTGTAATAACAAATTACTAATAATCTTATTTTTAAGCACAACCCAGTATTACTTTAACCCTACCACTACTTCAGAATAATCTGACAACAGTACATAATTA